ACACACACACACACACACACACACACACACACACACACACTGCTGTGTAACTTAATTTCTCTTGTAAGGCGAACAACACGATAAATGAAACTCGCGAAACTCTCGCCCGGGATTCACAATGCCGCTTGTGTAAATTAATGGCAACGCGCGCGTTTGATTTTGTCGTGCTGCCCGAATGGGCCGGCATCGCGATGCGAGATTAATTGCGACGTTAATTACTCCGGAGACATTCTACGGACACGCTGTTTACTCACGCGCGTGTGTACACGCGCGGAAACGCGAAACGTGTGCCGCGACACGTGCGAGAGCGCGCGCGCGCGGCGGTTATAACATTAGTCCGTGCAGCATCGCGCGCTCTCGCATATCATCCTGATGCAGTGTATCATATCTTTCGATCTTCCCGGGGCGCACATTATGCAAGTTTATAACCTGTTGATTTTCCATTGTTTACCGCCGCCGCCGATTATCGGAGTCGCGCGATACTTTCGGAAAGCATCGCAAATTACTCTCGCTCTCCGTGCATAGTCGTGCAGACAAGCGCAAAGGATTCGAATTGCGAACTCGCGATCTGAATTCTCTCTCATTCACGGAAAGAACGAAGTTTTGTTGGAAGGTCTAAAAATTTTTTGCTGAAGACAGATTTGAAAATTAATTCTTGTTAAATCATCAAAAAATTTTGTTGAAATATTAAAAATGATAAGCATTACTGTATGTATAGAACGTTTTGATATTCTAGCAATTCTTTTGACTTTCCCATAAAATTATAATTTGTTGATTATTAAACAAAAATTATTTTTAGATCCGGTAAAATTATTCTTTCAGTGTTGTGACGCGAGAAAAGTGAAAAGACAAAAGGTCTCCGAATTTCAGAGTGGCAATTATATCATTATTGTAATAAAAGTGTTCAAATAATGTTAGCAATTAGAGAAAGAGAAAAAAAACCAAATTGTTTTTTTTTTCATAAAATACGTTTTTTTAAAGAAAAAAACATAAACCTTGTTTTTTTCTCAAAATTATGTTTTTTTCAGTTATCTATTTAATATCTATATTTTGCTTAATATAAGTTAATTTTTCATGATTTCTTATTTTATTGATAGTAGATTTAAATTATCATTTTAACCTTTACGCATAACGAGAAAGCCAATATATTGATTCTGAAACATATTTTGAAGCAAGGACTTCAATGAATAATTATAATAAATTCTACTTAAGAAAAAGCTGTTTAGAAAAAGAATTAAAAAGATTCTCCCTTTGTATAAGTTAAATGTAGATCACATTAAAATTAATTATGTAATTATATAATTACTATTAATTAGTCGTGCTGTCGAAATTTGAAAAAAAAAAATTGTATTTTTTCAATAAAATAAAACAGTTTTTAAAATAGTTTTTTCTATAAAAAAAAAAATGTTTTTCTTACATCTCTATTAAGCACAATAATAACATTCAATTAATAACGTACATTTAAATGCCGCATAAAAAATATCTACATATATTATATTAATATATGTATCACTATCAAATAATGGAGAAATTAGTGTAATTATTTATTCTATTACGGGTGATAATTATACGTAGCCTGTGATCAACCGCGGGACTTTTCCGCTCGCGTTTCCAATATAATTAAATGACCCGTTTGACTATTGTATTTATCCAATACGAAATACGGCGATATTAATTAAAACGAACCATTATCTAATGAACAATCGTAATTTTCACGTGATACACACAGGCGGACACGAGTAGACACGCGAATGGAGGGATTATGAAATGATGAATGATACGAAGCAGCCGGCGTGTGAGATTCGCAGCAGCCGTCGGATTCAAGATCGTTCGAGCATATGGTCTTACTACTGGCGCTCTTTTTAATGGAAATCATGCCGCAGCCGCGTGCGACACGTCGTCGCACAATCGTTCTCTCGCTTGAAATATCAATAGCAATCGACATTTCTCGCGCGTTTCATTTTTCCGGAAATATTATCCCGTATTCTGCTTACCTGGTTCGAGTACATTGCCGCGATTGCAACGCCTGGATTCCAATTCCAGTATGTCGGTCATCAACTTCTGGATTCGGTCGATCTCGACATTCCTCTGAAATGAATTCATTAGTAAATATAGATTAATCTGTATTAGAGTGGAGCGATTTCTTACTCCCTGTTGTGCATGTATTTTTGGAAAAGGCATAAAAAATGATGAATTTTGATGACAAGCGGAAATTTTTTAATGAATGTCTACCCCTTCTAAAAAATAAAAAAAACCATTATTTTTTCATTTTTATTTTCTTTCAATTAATCATCGGTTTATTATTATCGGTACATAACAATTGTTTCATAAAAGTAATTTATTGTTGGAAATTTCTTTGGAAATCTTTTTTTTTGTTTCAGTTCTCGGCCTTATAAGCCAAGATTCGATCATAGTAAATGCCATTCCTTCGCGTTTGCTTGGGGTCACACGATGTCCAGGCAAACGCAAGGAATGGCGTTTACTGTGATCGAATCTTGGCTTAAAAGGCCGAGAACTGAAACAAAAAGAAAAGATTTCCAACAATAAATTATTTTTATGAAACAATTATTATGTATCGATAATAATAAACCGATGATTAATTGAAATAAAATAAAATAAAAAAAACGATGTATTTTTTATTTTTTTAGGGGAGGGTAGATATTTATTAAAAAATTTCTACTGTCACCAAAATTCATCATTTTTTATGTCTTTTCCGAAAATAAATAATAAATAAATAAAATACATGCACAACAGGGAGTAAAAAATCGCTCCACCCGAAATTGTGTATATATAGTACCCCCCAAAAAGTTACCGGATAGTAGCAAAATTTTTATGTTTAAAGTTTTAAGTCGTTGAACTTAGTGCAGCACTGTGCTAAATCAAAGAGTAGATGATTTTTTCATTTTAAGAGATACTTTAAGATACTCTATATCAATTTGAAGTTTAATGCATTCCTACTACTGTAATCTCTTAAATCTGAGATGTACGTTTATCGTACTGAAAATTACAATGTTTGACGGAATGCACGGACTTGCGAAAATTTTTCTCTGGAAATGCTCTTTGCAGCGTCACAAAGCTCGAATCTTCCTCTTTAGTTTGAAAAAAAAAATGCAAGTTGCTACGATTTTTTGTCGCAAAGTTAAAGCATTTTAAAGTAAGGCTTGTATTTTTCTTATGTACGGTCGACATTACCCGATGTGCACCACAGGGAGATCGGATTTTGCACATTGTGTGCGTTTGTGTGTGTATAAAACACATACACATACACACACGATGTGCAAAAACCGATCGCCAATCTCTTCCTGTGACGCACATCAGGTAATGTCAACCGTACATAAGAAAAATACAAGCCTTACTTTAAAATGTTGTAACTTTGCGACAAAAAATTATAGCGCCTTGCATTTTCTTTTCAAATTAAAGAGAAATATTATATATATATATGTATATATGTGTATATTTTAGGAATGTGATTTAGTTTTGAAGATTTTTTCTCAAAAATTGATTTATTATACGAATACACCTTAATCAAAATATTTATCCCTTTGTTTTCTACAACTTTTTCTAGCAACAGATGAATTCCGCGACGATAAAAGGATTCTTCTTTGGATTTGATCCAATTTTCTGAAATCTTCACATTTCTTCAAAATTATGTGTATCCTCTAGAGCATGTTGCATCGATCGGAATAAGTGATAATCAGATTGAAGCCATGTCTGGAGTATACGGGAGGTGCGGTAGGACTTCCCACTTTAGCTCTAATAGCGTTTGCTTCACTGATAATGCAATTTGAGGTCGAAAATGCTCTTTAGAAAGCTCTATTTTTAAATGGTATAAACACGTTTACTGCGTTTATTGTTAGTAAATGACTATAAATATCGTGGAGTAATATTAAAGTATTAAGAAACAATAGCTGTGATTGGAATGTCTTTGACAACACCGATATTAGTGCCATATCTTGCAAAACTCTCAAAACTAAATCACCTAACTAAATTATCCCCAAATCTAATATATACATATATATATATATATATATACCCGGGAAAAAAATTTCCATATATAATTATATATAATTATATGCAAAATATGTCTATATATGTTTCTTTCCTTTGTAAAATTATTCTTTAATACAAAATTGATAATTAAAAAAACATAAAAAATAATTAAAAGAATAATTGTTACATTGT